GAGAAAGAGGGAGGGAGGGAGGGATATATATATATATAGAGAGAGAGAGAGAGAGAACAAACAACAACAACAACAAAAAACAAAAAAAACTTCGTGGGGAGGGGGGAGGGGCAAAAGAGGTCTCGACCCATTCCCGGGAACCGGCTTTTCATCCAGAGTCGTTTTTTGACGGTCGCGAGGCCCGGCGAGGGCCCCCAGGGGCCGAAACTAGCGAAAAACCTCCCGTCGTGTCTTTTTATCTCCCTGATTCGAGGGGGCTTTGGGAGGGAGAGAATATACATGAGGCCCAGGGACACACGAATAAATAGACAAACTCCGAAGGTTCTGTATATCTTCCAATTTTCGCATGATGCTCGCCTTCCCGTCCACTCCCCACATCTTCCAATATTTTCCGGGGGGCCGACGACTGTTTGTGTCTGCGTCTATTGTTCTCTCCTGAAACGGGAGTCCACCACGGGCGGGGCCGGCATTGTCGGGGTCCACCAAAAGGGGGGGGATCCTGGGGGGGGGTAAATTCGATCCGCTGGTGCATCGAATTTCCGAAAAACGATGCCCCCCGCGCGCCCCGACTGTCGACACCTCTGGGCTTCCGGCGGCGGCCAGAGACCTTGTTGTGCATCGTTTTTCTCCGGTTCGATGCGCCAGCGGACCGAACTCCCCCCCCCCCTGTGGCACCCCCCCACCTTGCGAGGTCCCGACATCTGGCCATCGCTCGGACGTCCATTCCCTGTGCTTTTTTCGGTTTCGTGCGTGGTTTTTTCGCCAATTGATCAAGGATGCTCCTCGATGGTCCTCGCCGAAGGAAAAATGCACACGTCCGAGCGATGCAAAGACATTGGCACGAGGGGAAGGGGGGCCCCGAGGCGGCGGGTGCCGGACCCTCTGGGACGCTCCCCGGGGCAAGCTTGCCTCCGTCCAGAGCCAGGGCCTCGGGAGGAGCCGTGGGGCCACGAGGACGGCGAAGCAACGCCATGGCCCCCCAGAGTGCGCCTGGACGGAGCCCCCAAGAGGCCCCAGAATTCCCCCCCAGAGGTCCCGAGAGCCTTCCGAAGAGGCCCCAAGAAGCATCCCTGAGGATTCTGGCCCACGTCAGCGTCGAAATCGTCGCCGCCGCCGCCGTTGTCGTCGTCGTCGTCGTCGTCGTCGTCGTCGTCGTCACCCTTCAGGGTCGGCGGCACCGGCCGTAAGGCCAATACGCCTGATCTTCAGATGACCCCCCCTCGAAGATCGGCCCTTGGACCTTTCCGGGGGGCGCCGCGCGAGCAGATTTCCGAGGGGAGCCCGTCGGCGGCGAGCGAGGGGGCCTTCTCTTGAAGGCCCGGAAGTCCCCCGGCCCTGTGAGAAGCGTTATATACGCCTCGCCCGAAGACGCGGAAAAGATCTCAGAGGGCGCGAGGGCCTCTGAGAAGTTCACCGACGCCTCCTGAGAAGTCCTTCCCCTTCCCACTCCCCCCCCCCCCTCGCTCGCCGCCGAGCCCACGCGCCGCGACGAGGGCGCTCCAGGCGGCGCAGGCATGGTGCGCTTGTTTTCCACCGCCACCACCAGAAGTAGGAGGGGGAGGGGGTCCTCCTCCTCCTCCTCCTCCTCCTCCTCTTCTTCTTCCTCCTCCTCCTCCTCCTCCTCCTCCTCTTCTTCTTCTTCCTCCTCCTCCTCCTCCTCCTCCTCCTCCTCCTCCTCCTCCTCCTCCTTCCCAGAGGTCCCCAAGCACCCACAACCAGGCCCTTCGAGCCTCGGCCCGTGTGCCTCGCGCTTCGCCCCCCCCCCCCCCCCCCCCCCCCCCCCGCCGAGGCAGGAGGAGGAGGAGGAGAGGAGGAGAGAGGAGGAGGAGGAGGAGGAGGAGGAGGAGGAAGAGGAGGGAGGAGGGAGGAGGAGGAGGAGGAGAGAGGAGGCGAGGAGGAGGAGGAGGAGGAGGAGGAGGAGAGGAGGAGGAGGAGGAGGAGGAGGAGGAGGAGGAGGAGGAGGAGGAGGAGGAGGAGGAGGAGAGTGGGGGGAGGAGTGGGGAGGAGGAGGAGGAGGAGGAGGAGGAGGAGGAGGAGGAGGGGGAAGGAGGAGGAGTGGGGAGGAGGAGGAGGAGGAGGAGGGAGGAGGAGTGGGGAGGAGAAGGAGGAGTGGGGAGGAGGAGGAGGAGTGGGGAGGAGGAGGAGGAGGAGAGGAGGAGGATCGGGGAGGAGGGAGGAGGAGGAGGAGGAGGAGAGGAGGAGGAGGAGGAGGAGGAGGAGGATTGGGAAGGATGAGGAGGACGAGGAGGAGGATTGGGGAGGAGGAGGAGGAGGAGGAGGAGGAGGAGGAGGAGGAGGAGGAGGAGGAGGAGGAGGAGGAGGAAGAAGGCACCGTCACAAGAACCGTCCTCTGGGCGGCGGAGGAGACGGAGGCGACGGATGAGGAAGGAGCAGAGGGCTCCGTCCCGAGGGGCCGGCCCGCCTCCGGGCCGAAGGATCCCCGCCTCTTGAAGTCGAACTGCTCGAACGCCTCGGCGACACGCCGGGGGTCCTCGTAGACCTCACCGGCCGAGGCTTCCGTGTGCAAGCCGACGTCGTCGTCGATAGCTAGGGCGTGAGGGTCTCTGTACATATCTCTCATGTTTTTTTTGTTTGTTGTTTTCTTCTCTCTCTCTCTCTCATTCAACATACATTTTCATACATATACACACACACACGTGAATATGTATATATCTATATAGACATGTATATATATATATATATATATCTATATATGTATATATATATATATATATACATACATACATATACACACATATATATATATATATATATGGATTCCTCTTCCTATTTTTTTACAAGCCCGGGCAAGGGGAAAACCCGTCAACCCGCCCTCCCTTAAAAAAAAACTTACTCCCAGGATCTGGGGCTTTGGGACCCTTCGGACGGGCCTCGAAGCGGCCCCCCGGGCCTCGCAGGGCGTTTTGCCAAGCCTTCGCAGCACACCTAGGGCAATCAGGGGGGTCATCGGAGACGTCCCAGAAAACCCAAAAAGACAGCACAAGAGCGCTCCAAGAAGCCGTCATACCCCGAAAGATCGCTCCAAAACGTACCAAGAGGCCTCCAAGAGCACCCCCAAGAAGGCCCCAAGAGGGAATCATCATCGATTTCATATAGGTTTTTGGTGAATTTCGGGTTCTCCTCTTTTCGGCTTCCCGACGCTCCAAGACAGCGGTCTTCTGGGCGTCCGAAGTCGCCTGGGAGGCTCCAAAATCGCCCCGCAACCATCCGAAAGGGCTTCCAGGCAGTCCAAGAGAGCCCCAGAACGGCACAACAGGGGTCCTAAATGGCCTTAAGAGAGCCCCATGGCGGCCCAAGATGGCCCCAAAACACCCTCCGAAGCGTTCCAAATGGTGACCGGGGCGTTCAGGGAGACTGCGGTTAGAAGCAGGTTGGCCTTAGGAAGCCCCAGAGGCCTCCAGAACACGCCCAGGAGGCCTCCAGAAGGCTTTAAGAAAGCCTGAGAACTTTGGTGAGGCCCCCAGAGGCTCTCCAAGGAGGAGCCTCCGCAAAAAGAGCTGAGGAGGATGGGGAGAATACCCAGGGTATGGCGACAATGAGGAAAAATAAGCATGGAGGAGGGATAACGAACAACATTATTATAACGGCGATGCCAGAAAAGGCAGCAAGGAGTTATCGCAACATTGTCCGTTTGACCTTCCTGCCATTTCCGCCTGCATACCGATCTTCAAGGACCAAGGTGCATGGCGCGAAGCGCCACTGCAGTCTTGTACAAACATACATACATACATACATACATACATACATACATACATACATACATACATACATACATATATATATATATATATATATATATATGTATTCACCCGTTCCTGGCCAGGCCCATCCTGGGCAACGAGCGGTGTATACGCCCCCCTGACTTGACCAGGGAAGCATGTGCACCGATTTCTGGGCCCAGGATCGACCTGGCCAGGCCTCCCTTCACCCCCTCTGCCTCCCTTTTCCGCCCTGCACCCTCTCCACCTCCTCCTTCTCCTCCGCCCCCTCGCCGTCTCTCGTCCCGTCGTCTTTGCTCTTCTCATTTCCCCTTCGTCGTTCCCCCCCCTCCCCCCTCACCCGAATCCCTCTCAGACCGCTCCTTCAACAAATCCGCCTCCCTTACCCTCAGGGGAGATGGGAGAAGAAGGGCTGGACAAGGGATTGTCAACATAGCAAGAGCAAAAGCCCCACGTGCTTTGAATTGTGCACCAGCGACAATCGGACCGAGGGGGCCCGAATGGTCTTAGTTACTCACTCCTTGCGCGCGCGTGTTTGCATGGGGCTTCGGTCTGTGGGAGACGACACTCGGGAGCGACATTCAAGGTCGACGAACGGGGGCGACACGTGGGGGCGACACATGGGGGCGGCACTGGGGGGGGACCCGTGAGGGGGGGGGGGTGCGGGGCGACGCTTCGAGGGGGCACGCGGGTGCGCGCCCTTTCGCCCCTCGTGCCCTCCCGGCCTTTTGGCTTGCCTCTTCCGGCCATTCCCACAAGGGCTTCGCTCGCGCCGCCGCCCCCTCGCTCGTATCTGCAAGTGCCGAGTGCTACGTGGCATTGTTTTCGTCCGCGAGGGGCTACGAGTACACTGAGTTTGACATGCAAACGCCCTCCGCGCATGCCGCTGGTAGAAGCGCTTGTGAGACAGGGAGCGTGCGGTGCGGGGGCGAAACCACGCTTTTGAGCAGGAGCTGCGTGAGGCACATTTGCGCAAAGAGGCTCTGGAGCCTGGTGTTGACAATGGTGCCGTCCTGCTTCATCATGACATGTTGTCGTGGCATATTTCAAGCGGGCCGCATGTGAAACATCGCAGCCGCCCTACATCCGTGTACACGTTCGACGGTGCAACGCCGTCTACGCGACTCCACGCCAGGCTCTCCCGCGCTAGGCCCACCCCGATCCAGAGCGAGCGCCCGAGAAAGGTGAAAACGATGATGGGGGGAGCAAGAGGAGGAAACAGAGGAAGAGGGAACAGGAGGGAACAGGAGGACCAGGAGGGAGGACGGATACGAGAGGACAACGCGGGGAAGGAGTAGGGGGAGGGGGAGGGGGGGGGGGGGGAGGGGAGGGGGAGGAGGAGGGAGGAGGAGGAGGAGGAGGAGGAGGAGGAGAGGAGGAGGAGGAGGATTCTAAGATTTCTCTCGGGACGCTGTCCCGAGGAGGAGGAGGAGGAGGAGGAGGAGGAGGGAGGAGGAGGAGGAGAGGAGAGAGAGAAGAGGACGAGGAGGAGGGAGGGAAGAGGAGGGAGGAGGAGAGGAGGAGGAGGAGGAGGAGAGGAGGAGGAGGAGGAGGAGGAGGAGGAGGAGGAGGAGGAAAGATGATGATGATGATGATGATGATGATGATGATGATGCTGATGCTGATGATGATGATGATGATGATGATGATGATGAGGGGGAACAGGAGGAGGATGAGACTAGAAAAACTAGGATGCGAGCTGTAAAAGGCGATGTTGTACAGCGCAAGAAATAGCAAGGTATGTGAATAACGCGTGTATAGCACGGGCACGAGAGCTTGTCCAGCTTTCGCGCCCCGAACAAAAGCGGCAGCGTTGAGGGAGACGATTAGAAGAGCAAGATGCGATACACTGGAATGGCCTACCGTCTGAGTCTGGTGCTCAAGCGAGTTTGCCTGTGCCTCGCCGGTCCGAGTACACAAACCGCACTCGAACCAACGAAGCAAACGTGAATTAAGACAAAAGACAAGAGGGCATTATGCTGGCCATCTCCCTCCTGAGAAGTTGCGCAAATCAGGGGAGCTGGGCGCCGAGGACCTTCGACCGAGCAGGTCCCTGAGAAAATCATATTTGGTAGCCTGGCCCGCTCTTCTGAATGGCGTCCGAAGGCCCAGGGCCCTTCTGCAGGTAGCCTTCGTGGAGCTTCAGGCGTGGCTCGAAGCCGGCGCCCTTGAGGCAGCAAGGGGCGCGGGGAAAGCGCTGCCTGGATGGGGCCTCCTGGACCTGGAAGCCGCCGCACCACACTGGGAACCCAGCGAGAAGCGGGCACCCCGGGTGCGTCGCGGGAAGGCAGCGGGGGAGGCCGGAGAGGCTCGAGTTTGCCCGCGAGAAGGCAGCGACCTGGGAGAGAGAAGCCCCAGAGGCTTGGGTTTGCCCGCGAGTAGGCTGCGACCCTGGGTGTGCCCGCGAGAAGGCAGCGACCCGAGAGAGGAGACCGACAGGCTTGGGTTTGCCCGCGAGAAGGCAGGGACCCTGGGTTTGCCCGCGAGAAGGCACGCGTCCTCGCAAGGGGCCTGGCAAAGTCCGCGAGAAGGCAGCGACCCGAGAGTGAGAAACCCGGAGGCCTGAGTTTGCCCGCAAGAAGGCAGGGACTCTGGGTGTACCCGCGAGAAGGCAGGGGCCCTGGGTTTGCCCGCGAGAAAGCAGTGACCCTGCACGCGGCTTCTCACGCGGAGCCTGGCAGTGCTCGCGAGAAGGCAGCGACCCGAGAGTGATAAACACGGAGGCCTGACTTTGCCCGCGAGAAGGCAGGGGCTCTGAGTGTGCCCGCGAGAAGGCAGGGACCCTGGGTTTGCCCGCGAGAAGGCAGTGACCCTGCACGTTGCTTCTCACAGGGAGCCCGGCCGAACACGCGTTGCCATTAGGGGGCAGTGCGGCCGGGAGGCCAGGCCCAGCAGAAGACGACCGCGGCCAAGGAGCGCGGCACGCTTTTGCGCCGCCGCGCCACTGGCGCCGGGATCCCACGGATTCACGGACGAGCTGGGCCGAGCGGCGCGACGCACGACCTGAAGACACAGGAGCCGCGCTGAGACATACTTCCGCCGCGCCGTAACAAGCGGGCCGGCACGCCGAGGACCGCACGCCCGCGAAGCAGGCGCCAAGGTACGTGAGCGGAGGAGAGGGGACGAGGCGAGCGACCACGGGCCTGCTCCACATGATTTTCCTGTGCCAGAAACAGGTTTACGCTTCATTGAAATTGCCTGGCAGTGCTTGACTGGGGCAGGCGCGTGCTCACTTGTATGATTTGCTCTTCGAAGCCTGCTGCCCCGCGAACGCAGCTCGTGGAGGCAACCCGCTCGCAAGCACGCTTCGCTCTTGGTCTTTCTCTTCCCGATGGACTGCGTCGCATTCGCGAACGAAGTTCGCGATGTGAGAGTCGGCCGACGCATTCGCGAACGCAGTTCGGGCATGCGACGCCGAGTGGGTTACCCAGTGGCGTTGTCTATGTCCTTGTTGTGGTTGCTGCGCGTGGAGCTCGGCACCGTCTACTCTACACTGGCGTAGTCGTCTAGAGATGCGCCGCGCTGGTAGCAGTGGCGCAGCGAGTGGGCGTGCTGACGCTGGTGCTGCGTCTCCAGGCGCCAGCGCCACTCGCGTGGCCGTCGGCCTCTGCTGGCAGCCGGGTGTTCGACGGCAGCGTGGGCCATCTGTTGGCTGTCTGTGCTCTCCAGCTCCTGCAGCTCCTGCAGCTCATCTAGCTGTCTGCGCCCTCGACCTCCTGCCAAGCTGCCAACGTCGCCTGTTGGACCTGGCCGGAGAGGT